TATTTCAGCCAACGTTTGGCCTTGCGGCTTCATTAGGGCTAGTAGTTACACGTGTTTACTTGCATACAGCACAATTTGTTGTGAAGTACGAACCATCAGTAACCTACTGTTAGTTCTGAAGGAGGGTAACCCAAAACGAGAACTTTGATAATAAATACATCTTTTGCCAATAATACTTAACTAATTTGTTTTTCGTACAGATGCAACATGGTTCATTCACTAGCTGTCCAGTTTGAAAGCTTGGTTTACATATGATTGACACGATTCTTTAGAAAACAGAGTACATACAAATATTCTTTTCTACACAATACTAATTTTTGGGTTTTTGTACTTTTTGTGTCACCCCCTCCCCATCAATCATTACCCTTCAGCAAATTTGCTTCTATATAGATATATATTAATTCATTGTCGTTTATTTTATCACTTAGTTCTTCTACATTCTTTAAAAATATCTGTCATTGTAGGAAACGAGTTATATACCGATTAACATGTTAAATTGAAATGGTTCCCCGATTCCGTCTTCTTAGAGGTCAGCAGGATAAAGACGTACATGATCAAACGCACGAATGTTGTCGACATGATAAGTTGCGAGCTTTGGCCTCTTCACGTGAAGTGCGAGGACGCTCAGCTGGTGGCATTCTCAGTTTCAGCGTTACGAAGTTGAGAGAGATACAATTCTGCACATACACTAAGCATTATCTCAACTTTATCAACAGCATTTAACTTATTAAATATATTCCTAACGCAAATAGTAATATGTTTAACTTAAAAGTGGGATTTCAAATACAAAAGTTACTAAAACATCTTTTTGGGGAAATTTGAAAAAAAGTTATACGAGTGTTTAAAATCCAAGCTGTGAAAAAGAACAATATATTTTTATTCGAAATCATAATACTGTTTTACAGAAGGTGAAGAGAGAAGTTACTCTGGTTCATTCAAAAACAACCCCAAAATTGCATATTACGCATGTTTTATTTATTTATTTTTTTTGGTCCGGAAGTGGTGGGAAAAGTCCGGCTACATACTTGACCATGTTTTGTAATTTCAAAGTGTCAAATTTCTACTAAAGAGGATATGATAAGCAATGAACTTCTCTGGTCAAGGCTACGCAATTTTGACGCTCAACCAGTAACACTTAATGGGGAATGTGATTTTGAATGCCTGTCCTGGAAAAATAGCTAATTTGCTTGCGTTCGTGATGCTCTAAGCGTGAATAGAAGGTGGGGCCGCTGCTAATGTATCAAAATGTCATGCAGGAACAGCACTAACATACGATACAGATTTTGTGTAGCATTCAAATCTGGATCAAGGATATTTCATGAAACTACGAAATAAAGTATCTAATAAATTTTTATTGAAGGTTTTCAAAGACAAAAATAAAAATGATATATTATCTGAAACAGCATGGTTAGCATATGTTACGTAAAACACACACACACACGAAATATGGTACCACCAACCAATCGAAGGAAACTTTGGCGGGTATAACAGTTTTGAGCGTTTACTCATAACTGGTGGAAGTATAGGCAAAAATTGCTCCTGGATTATCACTAATAAAACCTTTGTGTCAACTGTCAATATTTCTGATTTCTTAAACTGTTGTTACGACAGCGGAATTCAAGTGACGCTGGTAACACGTAATGAGTATCTAGAAGGTTCGTGAAGGCTCGAGCGTTTGCCAGACGGCAGTGACGGCATAGATAATTGCAGACAGGTAGATGTAGAGACAGATAATCGAGTCAAGTCGTAAGTAAAGTGCGTGAATCGTTGTGAATTATAGCGTGTGTTTAAATTAAAGTGATTATGGAAATTATGTGTATTGCAAAGTTGTATTGAAAAAAATAAACTAGTTTTATTTAGGAAAGGACTTGTATCGCTGAAGTTCTTTGGAAATAATTTTTACGAGAAATTAACAAACAACCAGAGACGTAACACTATAAAAAAAGGAAAATCGACGTCGTGTTAAATGGGTGGAAATCACCAGATGAATGTTAGTAACTTGCAGTCCTAACTCACCAAAGTGACAAGCTTTTGTAGAATGTGCATGTTAACTAAATCTATGCAGAGGAAAGAATTTTTTTCAAGGTTTTTTTACATTTCTTAACGGCACAAATAATCATTAAGTCATTTGCTTACCAGATTCCCACCCCCACAAAAATATTTCGTGGCTCGGCACTGGGAACATGGTGGTGTAGTTTTTTTGTTGTTGCTAGGTTTTTTTTTCAAGGTTTTTTTCACTGCTGCATATAGTATAGTGAAAGAATAAAACTTGTTTATAATGAGCAAGCATAAACATATCAAGCCCTCACGAGCAGTCTTTTTAGAAAGGTTAAAAAAGTTCGTATTTAATGTTAATTTAAGTACTTAAGTAGTTAATTTTAGAAAGCATCATTTTTGCAAAATCTTCAGACCTAGACTGCAAATTTAGTGTGGTGTATCTCTTCTGAGTTATGGAATTTTAAAACTATATACAGCCCCCCAGTGGCATAGCGGTATGTCTGAGGACTTACAACGCTACAATCCGGGTTTCGATACCCATGGTGGGCAGAGCACAGATTGCCCATTGTGTAGCTTTGTGCTTAATTACAAACAAAACAAACTATATAAGTGAAATAATGCCAAACCATGATGCTGTGTCTATCTTGTTGTTGGAGTTTATGGATTGATGCCAGGTTTTGGCTGATGTTTATCAGGTGTTTGTTATTAAAGAATGGAAATTTAAAAATTCAAGGAAGTAAACTGGGTATTTTGGTATAAATATGTTATATAACGTATTTCATTTAGTTTAGTGCTATGTCAACCATTAAGTTAGGTATTTCCCTTTCCTGGCCCTTTTTTCTTTCTTAATATGCATTTTATGAAAATTTTGGTGGAGAAAACTTTGGCATATAATGTACACATATTTGTAGGGAGTGAAACGTCATTAGTGTAGATATATAATATATTAATGAAATGAATGAAGTATTTGATTTACCATAAAGAAAAAAAAAAGTCACAAAATGTTTAAATGAGACATAGTTGGAACTATTTTTTACATAGATTGTTATTTTAACACCTTGAAGATGTGAAGATTAAGCAGACCTTGTTCTGTTAAAGTGTAGAACTTATTTTAAGAGTTGTTACAAGTTATTTGAACTTTTCTAATAAATAATCACATTTTATTTCAATACCTCCTTTTACTTCTGACAGGATTGCCCCGATTTACATGAAAGTTGTCAGAATGCAAATATCTGCTTATTTTGAGAGGAATATAGTAATTTCTTTATCTTAACTTTGCTGTCATTGCCATATTTTAAATATTTTAACTGATATTACAAAATCTCTATGTAGTAATTTTCCCTCAGTGTTTTCAGTGATAATCATCCAGTCATTGAAGGAATGATCCTTAGATAGTGGGTTTATACATTTTCTGAGTAGAAGTTAAATTTCAACTACTGTGTCATTCAGCGTATTTCATGAAATCTTGTATACTTATCAGAGGGTGTGTGACTCTTTGTGTTATTTATACTTATTCTTATTCAAGGAATTTTATTTGTATATATTAGATGACATACCTGTTCAAAGCATGTTTGAAGACATATAGTATCCCCCCATTCATTATCCAGAGACTGGAAGGGCATATGCCAGATTTGGTGACAATAGGTCCAACAATTTACAAGTGAACATAATGCATGGGGAAGACATAGAATGGTCAGATCCACCCCCCATGTCACTCCCTGGGGGCCCTAATGATACATGCCAGGTTTGTTGACAACCAGTCCAGAATTTTTGCCAATTATAAATGGACAAAACACATGGAAAAGACCCGGTGGTCCCTGGAGGGTTGAAATAGGGTGATCAGATCCAAACTTCAATTTTCTGTGTCACTTCTCAGGGTACATGACTTGTTTGGTGACAGTTGGTATAATGGTCCACAGTTTATTAGAAGATGCACACAGAGGCTATGTCAAATAATGGTTTTTATATATATGTGTGAGCTTATGCAACTTAGGTAAGTGTAAGATACATTTATGGTCTTCATGTTTTATGCATCATTAAAGATCAGATGTTAAGGCTATTTGTTCTTATTTGTTTTAGAACATAAGAATAATCTTTATGCCAAGTTAATTAATTAAAGCAACTTTGGCTTCATATTCATTTTATTGATTATTTGTCCTATACCAGACATTGATTTACTCAGTTGACAATTCTGGTGATTTAGCTCTATATAATGGCAATTATGTGTACAAGGTCAAATTAATAACAAAGTTCTACATGAAACTCCTTTCCTTAACATAGTGCTTTATTAATCCATTGGAAATAAACCACATGTATTTGTCATGATCATCAGACCTTCAGTGTATTCCATATATTAATCATCTGGATGACCAAATATCAACAGAGTTCATAATGCATTTCATTGCTTTCTTGCTGCAAGATTTAGTTAAGTCATAAGCCTATAATAGTGTTGATATATTTGTCATGGTTACAGAAAAGTTTTATGGTTATTGGTTTTTGTCATCTGTTCAAATTTTGCAGTAGACCTTCATCCATAGTCATGTTAATGTAGTTCAGGTTACAGAAACATAAAGTTGCTATGTTGTAAAACTTGGTCAAGTGACATTTGAAACTCAACATTAATACTTATAATGATACTAGTGTTTTTCATATACATTTAATTAGCCTACCTTGTTGGAAAAGATTGAGGTATTTGATCACATGGCATTTGTCAGTGCTGATTTATTTCTTATGAATAAGCCAATAATGCTTGAAGGTGATCTTCTTTATAACTACAGGTTGGTAAAATATTAAAATTATTTTCTATAAAAGAACTAAATGATCTGCTACAAAGCACTGTAATAAAACAATTTTAAATTATTATTAATTCTTGATAATTTTGATGTGTTACCTGTCAAACACTAAAAAATACCCTTAGAGTCACTTTCTGAAATACTTTTGTGTATAGGATGCCTAATTTCCAAAAGTAGACTTTGTTATTTAGTGACTTGTTTATTTTCCAGGATGAAGAAGAAGAAATTAAACTAGAGATAAATGTTTTAAAAAAGGTAAGTTGTATTTTAATTATACACGTATATACTTTTCTTCATTCATTAAAAGTCCTTGCCAGAATATTTTATTTTAAATATCCACTCTGGTAAAGTCAGTAAAGAATTTTATTTTATTTTTTTTCCAGATGATTAAACTGAACCAAGTGGAACCCTAAGTTTGGTTTAAACAAAACACCTCCCAGTATGATGGGAGTTTAATAGACTTAGTATTTCATTTGTATATAGTTCTGTTTCATTACTAGGAAGAATATTAAATGTGTGGGAAGTAAAAGAGAAATTTGTTGTGGAAATTAACAGATTTATTTGATTATACTGTTTACATCCAGCATTATCTACCTGTACATATGTCACAGAGATTCAGCTTTCTTTTAGCCAAAATAAGTTAATGTGGATTTCAGTTATGCAGAAAGTGTCATAACCCATTTACTACCTTGAGTCTCACCATAGGAAATTGTGTATCAGACTTCTGAAACAGGGAGGAGTACCTTCTCCCTCCAAGTGCTAAAGTTTTCATAAAGGGGGAGACTTCATATTTTTCTGTCAAACTCATTCACAATATAAAAAATCATTTAGTAATGGAAATGTTGTTTATTTAGTGGTTAATTATTTCCATTACATATATAAATAAATATATACATATATATGTGTGTGTGTGTGTATATATATATATATATATATATATATATATATATAATTTGAGCATTATTGTTTCTGGCTAGGATTTTACTCAGACTTTTCCAAAGGCTTTATGTCTAATTTATTTGCTAGAGGAAATGAAGAATATCATTATGGGCAGCAATATATAAGTTCAGTTTTAATGCATGCTTAAAATGTAATTATATCTATAAATTAATGAGTAAAGGCAATTTAAAATAATACCACTTTGTAGTACACAACTTTCATAATTAATAATTATCTTCCTATCAAATATACAGCAATTCATGTGCTAAAAAATGGCACATGACACCATTCCCAATCATCATAATTAACATCCTTCCATAATCTAGTGATAATGATTAATTTAATTATGTGTGTCAGTAAAAATATACGGTCAATTTTTGTCTTGACAAAACTTTCAATAACAACTAATGCATGTAATTGGTATTGACATACTCTTGGTACAAAGATCAGATTGAGTGTGCTAATTATCTTATGACTACATTATGAACGCTGAGTTGGGAGAATATGGATATAGTGTCTCATCAGTTTGATTGGCTCATGTCAAGAGTTTGGAAACCAAGAGTATGATCTGTTTGTTGCCTTCAGCATGGCAGGTGACCAACTGTGCTGAAAAATGAAGGTGTCTCAGATTTCACTAAAGGAGAAGATAAAAGGCAAAGTTGGGACTTTGAAGGGAGATTTTAAAGGCACATTTCCCTGCTGCTTGACCCCTGGTTTTACATTTTTTTTGTTATTATCAGTTGTATAATTTAAAAATTGATAGTTTTTGGCTTTATATTTGGTAAAGATGTTTTCAAACTCTCTGGTGATTCATGCATATCTTTAAATAATAGTTAACTTCTCCCAATGAACTAGTCTTTACTAAATCAGCTTTTTCACATACCTTTGTCCTTTGAAAGAAGTGAACTTCACTCTAGACATTACTTGTGTGAATAAATACTGAATAACTGTACTGAATATGTACAGAACTTTAGGCTTTGTTTGAAAATTTAGGAAGTTGTTTAATAATTTGTGTAGTTATTTAACACTTGTATTCTAGGTTTAAAAAAATTTTTTTTATGGAGCTAAATATTTAAAATTCAATTATTTTTACATAAAAAATGTTATTACTTCAGAACTTTAATAGTGTCTGCATAAATATTATGCAGTAGTAAATAATTTCTTATGAAAAGCCTCTCAGGATAGCCTTGCTTAACTTATTAAGCCAGCTTAGGACTTAATGTGTAAGTTTTACAAATGTTTATAGTATTATGTTTATCATATTGTGTAAACCAAAGCATTCAGTAGTTTCACTTTTACAAAAGTTTTGCATTTAACTAACTTTTTCTAAAGTCTGGCTTTTAAATACATAACAAGTACCCCCAAGAGACATTTTTTATAATTTTGTTCTTTTCAACTTAGTTTAATATTCATTAAACTGTAAACATTGTTCTTCACTTTAAAATAAAACATTTGTATTTGGTTATATGAAATTCAAAGTATTTTAACAACTGTTTAGAACAGTATATTTATAACAAAACTTTAATAAACTATTTAGATATTTGTTATAGAAATCAAGTTAACTGCAGATTTGTTTTCTCCACATTCCTCTTAATTTGTCTGTTACAGCTCAAAATCAGAGGTAAAAATAGCACTTTGGATATATCTTTTGTCTCCCACAAGTGTCCCAAGGAGCTTTTCAGTCAATACCAAAACTCACCAGTTGTACTGGATGATTAAAAACAAAAGACTGTGAAATGCTAAGAAATCATCTGTAGTTAACTTATTTTTATGATGATATTAACCCATTGGTTTCCAATAGCTTGCTGGCTCTTTAAATTTAAAGCATAACATTTAAATCATAGCTCCGTATAGTGTCTTATAGAGCCTTTTATCTTCATTGGGCAGTGACTTTGGAGGACAAAAAGTGGATCAAAATCATTATTTCTACACATCTATGATTTTGAGCTGCAATAGACAAATTAAGAGGACTTTGAGAATAAAAAGCATCTGCAGTTAAAATTTTTATAACAGTATTTAGGCATATTATTGGGTTCTAGTATTTTTCTGGCTTTCCACATTTAAACCATAAATAGTTAGGTATTTATTTTAAGTCCCAAAGCTAGAAATTATTATGAACTAGGCAATTTATTTTGTGATTTCAGTATTTTGTGTAACTTGTGTCACAAAATTTTTGCAGAACATTGTTAAAAAAACCTTAAAATCAATAATTTTCAAAGATTACTTTTAATTGTTTTATTGTATTCCTGTTAAACTTAAAATAGTGTTCATTTTTGAAGCACATATTAGAAACCTTATTGTATGGTTTAAAACTGCTAATTCTTCTTTGAATTCTCCCATTATTACATGCTTAGCTATTATTACTCATTATTTTACAAAGAAAGCATGTTTAATTCAAACTAACATGAAACTTGTAGCTCGAAGTAAGATACAAATAAATAAAAAAATATGTATAAATATCAGAAGTAGTGATGAAACTTGTGGGTCACATATAAAAAGTAATTCTCAGGACACTCAGGAATAAAATAACTTGGTTTTAAATATCATAATGTTTTTGTTTTACTAATTTAATTATTATTTTTTTAATAAGTATAACAAGGTGAACTTGGCAGCTTGGCTCATCATGGCAAGTATGTGAGTCATAATCATTACTCTACTGAAAGAATTAAACATGGCATATGAAATAGCAGCATTGAGATAAAACTTTTAACATTTTATGTATATTAGTATCAACAGAACATTAATAATCGGATATTTTTTCAAAAACAGTTATACATGTTAGTTCAAATTTATGACAGAAAACAATATCTTCTATAAAGATGAAATTACCAAATGTACAGATTGTATGAAATAATAATTATGCAATATATATATATATAGAATACTCCAAAGTTTTATCAGTTGTATAATTCAATATGACTGATTGATGTTTGTTATTGAACAACTACAAAAGTGTGTTGGAAAAACTATCAATATTTTTTTTCTTGTTGAACAGCTTCAGGCTGACAGATAGGTTGCAGTAATCCAACATCGAGTAGTGTTAGACTAATGAAGCAAGTTATTGATTTCTACAGGCATTTCCCCTAGTACAGCACGTGAAGTTTTTTTTTTTAAAGAGCAATAACTAAGGCTTGATAGATAGTCCCCCCTCTCCCCATTCAAGTCACCAACTGTGGGCACATGCTTGGATTGATTGCTGGTGGCTTTGAGAATGAGGCTGATTTTTTGTATTGATTGAAATTGTAGCTATGTTAAAAGACAAGATAAAAAAAAAGCTTTATATATGTCAGTTTATTTTCTTTTTATATTACCTCTGAGAAACATAATAAGGTTAGATTTAATTGTGAAAATTAATTTTAGTCAGTGTTCCATAAAATAAATATTTTGGAACAATTGAATGATGTTCATTGCAGATTAGTAACAGTTTAAATGACATATGTTAGATCCAATATTGGTTTAGAGTTGACATATCTCGAGAAGTTTCACAGCATAACCAAAATTCAATCAGGATTATTAAAACTTACTCCTATTCTCATTACATGACAAGAAACATTTGTTATTTTTATGTAAAGTAAGTTAATCTGCACACATTAGAGCATTATAGTTAAAAAGAACACTAATAATGGCTAGACTTTGACTTGACTCTTCTTATATTGGCACAGCATTAGCCCAGTAAGGCAGGGATTGATAATATGTGCAAACTCGTTAAAAAAAGGCAGTTCACTTTATGGAGATCTAACACTTGATCCAGCTGAGTATGGTTTAAACTATTGGAAAAGGGACAAGTATATTGGATATGGTTTAATACAGTTTCTAAAACATGTACTGTTATTTTTTCCATTTTAAACCATAGTGTAAATCTTAAGGACTGCTTGTATTTTTTCATGGTGAACATTATATCAGGTTATATACACAACTATGTTCTTAATTATTGTTTTATTTTTTATGTAGGATATCTTGATAGTTGTAGTTTCCTAACTGTAAACTTCAACAAGCATGGTATTTCACTCTACCATGATTTTTTTTCGTTTTAGTATTCACATCACAGAAACATAGCAACTTACTATGGTGCTTTTATTCAGAAGAGTCCACCTGGAAAAGATGACAAACTTTGGGTATGTTTATATTGTGTATGGATTCATTTTAGTTTAACAGTCATGTTAATTTTTGCAGTTTTATTATTTGAAATGTTGGAATACTTGCATTATCACTATCTGAATATTATGAAATGCAGGAAAAAAAACACTCAGTTAAATTGACTTTTTTTTACACCCAGTAAGTAAGGCTCAATAGGACAAAACAATAATTTTAAAAACACTTAAAAGGACTTACTAACCATTTTGTTCTTTGATTGTGTGTGAGTAGTTTTTTTTTTTTAGTATTTCACATTACCTTCTTTAATACATTATCCTCCTGTTGTCATTACAAGTTAAATATGATTTAAGGAAGATTGAAAATAAGCTAATGTAGCACATTGTTTTACTACATTGTATTTATTAAAGTGGGGGGAACTTGAGTAATTTTATACAGGTTTTTATATTAGCATTTTTATAATTAGATGCCAGTTGACAATTTAATCCATCATGAGATTAAATCTTAGTTTTCCAACATAAATTTCAGCTTGTATAATATACCAATTAATTGGTGGTAAAGGATTATTAAACTGACCATTATTATAATCATAAAACTCCAGCTTCTGTTTTCATGCAATATAAGAAAAGACAACCCTTTTGTTTTAGTGATTGATTATGTATACAGCCCAAAATTGTAAAATGTTAATGCTTCATGGAATTTTAAAATGAACTGCATCAGTTTTCAATATGGGTATTTGCATGGTAGCCAGCAATAAGACATTTATTATAATGTGTAATTACTCTGTGTACTGGATTGATTATCTTCTTACATCAACCTAATTTTTCAGCTTGTCATGGAGTATTGTGGTGCTGGTTCTGTTACTGACCTTGTGAAATGTAAGTAGTTTCAAGTTGGTAGTCATTATTGCCTCCTAGAGGGATTTTTAGAATTTATAGCAAGTTCCAACCCTACCCCACCAAACAAAAACCAAAAAACACAAGGATTGAAAAATCTGTTTTTTTTTAGTTCATGGTTATTTATAGATATAATTTAAAATTACAGCATTATAACCTGTTAAAAATGTTTTTAATATTGGTTTTACTGAAATTGTTCATCATTTATTAATTTTCTATTTTTTATAGTAGAAACAGTAAAACACTGACTTGAAATTTGTTTTTTCATTATGATTTTTTTCACAAAAAATATCTTGGGTATCAGTTTACAGACAAATAATATATGTTTGGTATGAGCTTGTAATTTTGTTTGTATCATAAGCAGATTATTCCTATCTTAATGTTTTTGTGACCTGTTTTTAATTTATGATTATTTTAACAAATAGTATAGTTACAGTAACTTGGAACTAGAATATTCTAATAAAGATGATAATGATGTTGTTCAAAGTTTGGTTTAAACATATTCATCATTAATTAACTATAAATATCCTTTTGATCACACACTGTATTTTTAGTATTTAATCACACATTTTACTGACTGACTAAAGTGTGAAAAGCATTGTTATACATACGCTTTGTTACTTTTATGTAAAACATTTTTAAAATATCTAAACAATCAAATTGAATTGTTAAGACCTTCAGAGTCTAGAAAAATTCATGAAAATTTTACAGCTGTTTATTGTGTTTGTCAATGGTTAACTATTTGGAGTTTACTCCTTCTTGTCTTATCAACTACGTTATATCTATAACTAGGTATCTGCACATACTGTTTCGAAGGAATTATGATGCAACTAATTTTTTCCATGAAATTTCTCCATCAGGAGACTCATTATTTATTTTTTTAGTATCTGTTTCTTAAAATTGTTGATGAAACTGTATAGATATTGGGTTACCACAAGTGTATTCTTGAGTTTAAGTTAAGGTTACTTCACTTTTGAAACACAGTGTGATTTGGAGAAATTTGTGAAGATAACCATTCTTCCACTGTAAATCTGTAATGAAGCAATCCATAATTTTAACCAAATATTAAATCCATTTATAGTTTAGCAAGTATGTGAAAGACTTAGCTTAAATGTTAAATCTGTTGAGCACTTAGACCATATCTGTATTCTCATGTAAAACTTGCAAATTCTTGGGATAATTTAGATCAGTGTCCTTTCATTTTAGTAAGTTATGGAACATTCTGATCAAGTTGATAAATTCTTTGATCATATCAGACTTATTTCTCCATTCATCCTGCAGAGCATTAACACATTACATTTTAGTGGATGTGTAATCTTTTTACCTATTTTTTAAAACCGTGGAAATAATAGAGCTCCAGTTTATTGTTGGAGTTATAAAATTCTTTGGAAGTGAATGCATCACACATGTATTTAAACCTTCTCAGTGAGTCATCAAGTTTTTTGACAAATCTACAAGTACTCTTTCAGTCTTGAAACAGTTCGTTTGGAAACTGAATTTATAATAATGTGAAACATAAACTGATGCTAGAATTGACCGTGTGATTGTACATCAGTGATTTCAAAAAATATGGTCAATGTGGCAGTATGAGAACTTTATAGGCAATATAATACTGCACATTTATTGTTAAAAACTCTAGAAATTATTAGTATCATGTACATCTTCATGGGTACCCAAAGAAATATTTTCAGGGGGGGGGACCTGTATGTAGGGAATCAGCTTTTTTGGTGTAAGTCAATGGACTAAAAGAATGTGTTATGCGTGCTTAAATGCAAACACAAATTAACAGTTTTAATAAAAAATTACTAAAAATATTTAATTTAGTTTTCATCATAATATGTGCAATTTTTTGTGAAATGTAATGGTGGCAAGTGCCCCCTCTTGCCCCCTTCCTGTGGGCACCCATGTAGATCTTTATCATAACATACCAGCTGAGGACAGTGTTATAGTTTTCATAACTCGAGCTTTAAATTGTTTCCAAACTTTAACTCTTTGGATGTTATAATTAGATTTATCTGACTTGACATTTATAGCCGTTTGGTGTGACAAGTGGATTTACCCCCCACAGTGTCACAAACACTTTTCCTTATAGAATGACAATCAGGATATCCATACGTTCATGAATTTCCTGCCTTGGTACCAGGCATGAGTACATCATTAAGAAAAAGTGCAGCTAGTGGATTTTTATATTGAAAAAGTACTAAAAAAGGTCAAATTCTAAATTTCATTTGTTAGTTGATAATTGACACTTTTGGAGAACCCACCAAAATTTAATTACGCACTCAAAGAGTTAAAATCCTCAAAAAGCATTAAACTTTCTACTGCTTACAAAATATGCAAACATCTTTGTTTGTTTAGGCTAAATGTACAAATTAATGTTTTTTTTTTAATGCTAGACTTTTTTGCATATAATTGTGTACTGGAACTTGTATATAGCAATGCCCGAAAACAACCTTTAAAACATTTATACATCACTTTTGTTCTGTTGATCCACAATGTAACCAGTTCCATTCTTCCTGAGTTTAGTTCTAGTAATCATTTGAATTTAAGGCTGAATATAGTCATTGATGTAAACTTGTTACTCTGTAAGACTTTGTATTAAAAACAGTCTAGCTTTATAGGATAGCAGTAACGATTTAGGTAATGACTAGTTTTTATTGGCATTTTAATACATGTACTTCTATGTTTTTATGTAGTTTATTTTAACCCATGAGTTTGCTCAGTGTATCTTTAGCTCAAACACATCTAAATGTATACTGACATCAGTTTTTAACTGTATTTAATCAAACATAAAAGTACATTCATCTGAAATCCCATACTTGTCAATCTTAAAACAAACCTACAGATACAACACTTAGATTAACACTAGAACTGCCAGACAAGCGAAAGATACTTAGATTTTAGAAGTGAAAACCATCAACTTGGTGGTTCTTGTGTTAAAGAGCATCCTTTTAAGAACTGTGTAAAAAGGGTAACTGAGCAGTTTGGAATAGATAATAGACTTTACATTGGTATAGTTTGTGAATAAAAAATATTATAGAAATAAACTCAAGAAAGTTGTATGTGTGATCACATAATTAATATTTTATGTATAAAATTTGATTTGTTGGACAGTACTTGTTTAATTTCTGTATTTTTATTGTTCCTTTTAAACAAATTTCATATTTTCTCAAAGCAAGTAAAAGTTCTGGTTGAGTTGCTTCTTAATGCTGATTACCAGTAGCTCTACATAAAGGTACTCTAAAATTCTGGCTGCTCTGAATGAATCCAGTAGTTAAAGATAGTTAAATCATGGTTTTATGATTGCACAGAGTGTTTGTTTAAAAATAAAAAGTGACATATTTTATGTATATACTATTTTCAAACTAGAGCTACGTGCTCTGTTAAAAGAAAATCTGATTATATTGCCTCATAAAATGTACAGAAATAGCGATAACTTAACAATAAGCTAAATAGTGGATGACTAGAAGCTTTATGGAAATTTTAAGTGACATTTATTGATTTTATGAGCTTTTTTTACAACAGACATTTTTGGGATCAAAAACTTATTGGATTTTGTCAAAATCAACATTTATATTTATACAATAGCATAACACAATACATTTCAGATACAGACGTTCTGTTTATTGCATTTCAAATCACTTGCACCACAATAGATAGACATGACATAGCTGGTGGTGTAAAGTAGAATGATGAAACGCTAGAAATACTATGCTAGCTATAACCTGAAGTGTCAGGATTAACCTAGAAACATGTAAGAAATCTGTGTTAGTGAACTTGGGCTTAAGTTACAGCTTCTCCTTTTAATTACTACTTAATTTTAAAAATTATAAGCTTAGTTTTAAATATAAAGTGATTTAATTTTTATTCTTGCATGAATCATAAAGTATTTGTTTTTACTCTTTAGCTACAAAAGGACAGTCTTTAAAAGAAGAATGGATTGCGTATATCTGTAGGGAGATCCTTCGGGTAAGTCATTCATGTTGTTGCTCTGAACATCAGATACATTTCGTGTATAATTCAATAATCATAATCTCCTTTTGTAAACCTTTAAGACAACTTAAACCAATTTATACACAGTTTTTGATAGTGGTGTTGTAACATGTGCATCTAAATTTTAAACTTTCTTCTTTAAAGACATATACATTTGTATATTTTATGATAAATGGAATAAAACTGCTTACAAATATTTATTCCCTACAAGATAGCCTTCATTGCGAATAGACATCATTCTTATTAGTTAGTGATAGTTTATTAAGAAAGTTAATAGTTAGAAATTGTGCTGTGAGTTTTTGTATTATTTTTGTGTCTACATTCACAAGAGAGTAATGCTATAATTTACTGTAATATTACATTTCTCTTTTAACATTACATTTTTTAAAAATTAAAAACTTAAATTCTAGTGTTTGACCTTCACTTTACTAAAAAGTCCAGTGATAAAGTGCTTTACTGTGTTCTGTTTGTGAAAGGTGCTTAATATGTGTATTTATAAAATATATCTATCTAATGTAAAATTTATTTACCTGAAAATTTTACTTTTTTGACACATAAAAGTAAACATGTGTTGGATAAGATTCAAATGAACCAGCTTTGTTTCTTAAGAAGATCTTGAGAATTGAATGTATCATTATGACTCTACAAAGAGACATACTTTTTTTCTATTGTCTTCTTTCTTCTTCTTCCAAACACTTTTCAATTGACTGCCATGCCTTTATTTCTCAGCAGATTGACTTGAAAGTTGTTAGGTTTATACCTTTGTCCGATATGCTCAAACACCTTTTTCATTTTAAAGATTTTATGGGGTCAAAAGTCAAACAACGCCAAAATGTATGTGTTGGGCTCCTTTGCAGTCATATTTACTGCAGTTAAGATAAAAATTGGCACAAATATAAATTTCCATGATTCCAACACATTGACATAAAAAATAAGTTGGATTTGCCCACTTTTAGTCTCTTTTAGAGGGGCCAGAGCTTACAAAAAGTCATAATTTTGGAGTTTTTTGACAGTTACTATGCTGTATTTTGACTGGTTTATACATGATTTTGGTACCAAGATACTTTCTTTGCAGGTCCCATACATATACATACAAAAATGTGTGATTTGCCAATTTTGGTCATTTTAGGGAGAGTCAAAACGTTAAAAATAATAGCATAATTTTAGGAGTTTTGGTCAATTACTTAGCCTTATTTCAACCAATTTACAAGATTTATTGCAAAGATACTCTTTGCAGTTCCGAAAGGGATATAAACAATTCTTACCTCCTCTCAAAAATAGCATTTGTTGATTAGTGCTGCCCTCTATTGGCGCACATTTTCAACACTCGCCACTAGCCTTCCACCTCACGTTTCTGCATATCTACATGTAAATGATTATGCAGCAGTTCTCCACCAATAGGAGCGCGGTACAACCCCTATGGTAACCAGCATCCTCTCCACATTTGCACTTGTTAAGCACTTCTCGATTGTCAGTAGTATTGAACAGATGTGCTTGTTTTTGCTCACAATATTTGTCAATATTTTCCTTTATACTATAGACTTATATTTCTTTACTATTTCCTTAACTTTCCTATTTGTGAATTGTGAAACATTGCTTCTTCCAACTTTTCTTACTTTTTCAGGGACCTTTTTTGCTCATATTTTGTGGATCACATTCTGGGTGAGTGGTACCTGCCGAGGTATGCTTTTTTCTTTTGAAAATCCGCACTGTCCATCTTGTGACCAGGCTTGATGTCAATTACATCATTGCCATTCCTACTGCAGACCTGATATACAGTTCCAAATACCGCCAGGTGTTGGTTGTGTGTCTCCATTCTGGTGTTGTCTATGCTGAAATAATTATGTTGCAGGATTAGGTTATGCACACTATAGAGATGGGGTGTTCTGTAGGACCGCTAGTAGTCTAGTGGTCTTTTGCTTCATAAATATGTTCGTCCCAGATTGTATACACATGAGTAAAGCAGACAGGGATTGCTGCCCATCTCTAATGCTCCGTGGTGTTGAGGCTCTTCCCACTGCAGACCTGATGTACAATTCCAGATGCCACTAGGTGTTGGTTGATTGCCTTGGTAGATATGGTAGCTCTGTTTTTTAAAATAGGGTATCTCAGTCACCCCTTGCACTGTCTCTAGTGATGTGGTCCTCTGGACTCTCCAACGTGTTTTTCCCTCCTTTCTTGAAGTGGAGTACAGGAGTCCTTGCCACTTACCAGTTCCTATCTGCTGGGGTGGTGGACCATGGAGGCCTGTTCTCCTAAGTGATGCATATACCACTCAGTTGAGAGTAGGGTGGAGGCATTCTACTGGTGTTGATGGCATATAGCACTTCCTACCATGGACCTGATGTCCAATTCCAGATGCCATCAGGTTTTGGTTGTAGTACTATGCCTTATTAATCTATAGATATCTGACAGATTACTTTTTCCCACTGTGGCATTCCTCTTTCCTACCATTCCTCTGGATGTACATTCCCGGGGGAGTCTGATGCTGGTTGGAGATAGCTCTGTCACTTTTAGAATAATGTTTTGATGATGTAATGTTCTTCCTACCTCAGACCTGAAGCACAATTCCAGATGATTTTGGTTGAAGCACTCCACCATGTCATGACTATATATATAGAGGTTATGCAGTCATGTGACTGAAAGTGGAACTAGTTTTCCCATCTGTAATGTTACATTGTGTACAGGAAAACTTTGCATTCAGTGCTTTGATTAGCATTTTATAGCACAAAGCAACTATGCTATCTGTTCACAGAACTTTGACAAAGGATTTAGATGAATCATTTGAACATTAGTACAAGGTAAATGTCAGCAATTTGGAATAGCTGTGATGGTACCATACTCTATTCCCCTGGCAATGACCACAAGATTAGCTGCTGCTTCAATAGTCATGTTGACAAACAGAGACACAGTTATGAACATTTCCAACTTGGAATACCCAAATATTTTCAGTTATCTAGTTTTTAATTTTAGTGCCTCATATTGAAGGCATACAAAGTTTAGATGCCTATAAATACTTTGTGACAGACTGGGTGCACATGTCAGACTGTGGATAGTGCATGACTTGTCAGTTTTCGTAATCTACTTGAAGATAAATCAACTGGTACAAAACTGCTAATCTGGACCTAGATGAGTTCTAATTAATCACCTTTATTTGCTTACCAGTATTTTATGTGTGCTGATGATTGATATGGATTATATCGTTGCATTACATCTACATTTGCATTTTATAGGCTCTATACTAGTAAAGCTTTTAATGCATGATTATATCCAAATATTCATATTTTTCATGAAACAAGCACTGCATCAGTAACAGTCTCCTAAGTATACTTATAGTTTTTGACATAATATAATTTGTTAATGTGTATGTGGAGATATGTGTGTAATTAATGACTGTTTAATGCATTAAAATGACTCAACAATGACAATTTACAGGAAAAATTATATTTTCATATTTGTGAAGTACTGATCCTGTTTGAAAATAAAATGGTAAAAACATTAGGATTAATAAGGTTGTTAAATTACCAGTAGTTCACACATTAAAAAGAAAAATACGTATTAATGCTGTATTTGAGCCCACATTCATAATTGTGGGCTGGGATGGAGTTATATGTTAGGTGGGCTTGTCTGAGTCTGTATCAGAAAACGTTCTCTGTTCAAGTCCATATCTTGAAGCTTTTGTAGTGCTGGTATCAATGTTCTTAATATTTTCATTGTCTGAAAGAAAATACTTTTCACTGTAATACAAATATGTTTGTAGATATGTCATTCCCAACAACTGTCTGGCAGCCCTTTGGGTATTGCAGTTGCAGTTGAACTGGAGGACCAGGTCGTAACTGCACATTACACGTCTATAGCAAGACTAGGAAAGTGTTGCTCCCATGTAGCAACTACATTATTCTAAATGATGATAGCAATAGAAATGACCAACGTTCAGACCTGTACATTGAACAACCAATTGGCATTATTACATGATTCAGTTCTAAGCACTTAACTTCTAGGTTCACCATTATTTCACTATTTTGTTCTTACATCCAATATGGCAGAATAAACAAAGCCGGCCCAGTGCATGACATCACGTGCATAACCTCTACATATTGCAGTTTGCCCCTCAGGCTATGACATTCCTCCTTACCATCCTCCAGATGTGGTTACTGGGGGCCCAATGTTGGTTGGAGATGGGCTGGCCAGCATCCCTCCTCCTACTGTGGACTGGATGCAAAATGCCCATTACCACCTAGTTTTGGACTGGTTTTGCTGGATGTCAATTCCTGGTGGATCTGGTGTTGGTTCTAGCGGATGCAGCATCTGTATTCCTACTTGTGTATAGCCTGATATCCTCCTTCTACCAAGGACTAAGATGAACCATTTCCAATGCTGCCAGGTTTTGGACCAGAGATGATTACCCATTAGATTTTCCACCTTACAACCATCCAGTGAATATCAGTTCTTGGTGGATCAGGTGTTGGTTGGTTTGGAAATGTGCCCAAGTGGAGATGGATTTGGTTACGGAAGCTCATCTTCACTATCACTTCTTGTTTCAAGGTGAAGAGGTAGGTGATCCTCTACCTACTGTGGTACAAATGTATAATTTCAGATACTACCAGAACTTGGTTAAGGTGAACTACCACCACAGTCTGTCTCGCCTTAGCCACTCGACACCCATGGGTTCCATTGCTCAGTAGTACTTATTATGGGATTCCTTCTTATATGTATTTTGTCATAAAAGGGCAAAGAGTATACCTGGATCAGATGTGGTGCAATCTCCCACTGAGGTGAGATATTTTCTTTTGGGTTTTGCACCTCATAGTCTCTATTTAGCAGTGTGGGATTCTAGCTATTTTGTGAGAGGAGGTAAGATATCATATCAGAAGTTAACATTTTCCTAACCCAAAAATGTATTTCCAATAGATACTTACCTCTTCTCACATTTCCCACCAAGCTTCCCACTTTTGGTGATAGTCAGTGTAGATCTTCTGACCAATTTCAAAGTGATTAACATGTGCAAATATGGAGAGGGCGCTGGTAATGATAATGGTTGTGTTGCCCTCCTATTGGTGGAGAGCTGCTGCATAGTCACTTACATGTAGATATGCAGAAGCGGGAAGTGGAAAGCTAGTGGCAAGCATTGAACATTTGCACCGATAGAGGGTATTACTAATCGAGAAAAGCTATTTTGTGAGAGCAGATATCTATTGGAAATACATTTCAGATTAGGAAAATGTTAACTTTTGGAATTTTTGTCTTTTGCTTAATTTTTCAGCAAGAAAAGCACAACTTTAGGGTTTTTATGAACTATTCATGTGTATGTCAACCAACTTTCATGGGATTTGGTACAAAGATACTTTTTAGCAGGTCCCAAGCAGCAATGCAAACAGTTTTCTATTTTTCTGGTGTTGAAATTGGCCATGTTGAACCTGTGTGGTAGAGGCATGTTACATTTCCCGTGAATATTGGCCTCTTTAATGATCTTACTTTTCTTTCTCCAGGGTCTCAGTCATCTTCATGCATGCAAAATTATTCATAGGGATATCAAAGGTCAAAATGTATTATTGACAGACAATGCAGAGGTCAAATTAGGTAAGAAAAAATATTTAAGTTAATGGATAATACTGCTTTGATTATTATCAATTCAAAAATTTACTATTTACCTTCTAGGATGTATAAAACTTAAAATGTACCAATGATATTGCTTTACCTCTAAATACATATACACACTGAGCTTAAACTATCCACTGACAAACCTTATCAGGTGTTATTGGGTCAAGGGCAGAAAATACTGCTAGCAGTAAGAATACCCAACTTATGACCTAGGGCAGAATAGTCATAGAATATTTTTGTAGTTTGCCTTTACTTATAATTATTACTGTAGAATTTAGCAGTTCTGGTGAATGTTACTACATAAATGTATTTTCTAATAATGTCAGCTATGTATTGATAGACATATTTCTTTAAAAGTCTGAACACCAGTTTGTTATGTGTAGCAAGTAAATCTCTTAGCATATTAAAGTACTAAAGATATTAAGAGAAGGCTTATATGTGAATATACTCTTACTTTCTGTGATACTAGGATGTGTTTTCTTTGCAAGTAGGTCTTATTGTATGTTACCGTAACAGTTAGGAATGTGGTAGTAGCGTACTTATTTTTTAAAAGATATCATTTACAGCTCATGTATTCAGATAGATACTAGTAAAATCTACAAGTATCTCAATGAAGATAGTATTATTAGTATCTTGTACAGGTAGTGTAGTGAAGATCTTTCTGTACAGATCTCAGGTGCACCTTCTCCATATTGGTATTAGTAACTTTTAAAGTGGTTTGGTGAAACTCTTTGTGCACAGATTTTGGATGTACTCTTTATATGATGGTATTACTTTTGGTAGCACACCTGTACTTACTTGTGTGTGGGCATATAAAAAAAAAAAAACACAAACATGTCATTAAAGTAGAGAGAAAGATGTTGCCAGATGAACATTTTTGAGTATTGCTGATATTTGTCTAAAAGGCTTTTAAAGACCAAGTTAAAAAGGGTTATATGGGGTAGAACACAGCCTCAACTCAGAAGAAGATGATTGTTATTTTACTGTTACATTGAAAAGATGCAAGTATATTAATTACACATATGAAAGGAATGAGTTACAAAATCCTAAAAGTATAAGAAAACTGAAACTACATCTATGAATGATAGAATGCTAGAAACCTCACCCATGTTTGAAAGAAAAAATAAGTACCTTGTACACATAAGCAATTTCCCTTATAGCTGTGAAAAGCAGACCAAATTCAGAAATATATTTAGGACATTATCACTACTTAACTGTTGTAAACGTAATATAGGACACTGAAAATGACAAATCACTAGTGAATTTAGAAGTCATCATAATACAGACTAGAAGAGAATTATAACAGATATTAATTACTCTTAGACTACACATATTTGAAACTGTCAAATTTTAAGTCATCAAGTATTTGTAACAACTAGGATATGAGAAATTACGGGTAACATTTTGATGAATCTCAAGTAAGCCTAACATCTTTAAGACTATTAGTGTCTGAGTCATAAGAAAAATGGGCTGTTAAGAATTAAACATTAATTGTGCGATAATGTAGTGTTTGGAGTAGAGGATTCTGTCCTTAAACCTGTTATTTATTTCCAGTTGATTTTGGTGTAAGTGCACAACTTGATAGAACAATAGGTAGAAGGAACACTTTCATTGGAACTCCATATTGGTAAGTTTTTTATTGATATTGAGACTTCATAACTTTTACTGGAGATGCATATGGTAAAAGATGAGTGTTAGTCTTGTAAACTTACTTTTAATTTTGGCTTTGAAATTTACAAATATTTAAAAAAACAAAACTTAAACCAAAATAAAGTGTGCTAGAACAGTTTCGAATAATACCCGCATTTTGCAAAAATATTTTTCAATATAATGCTTTAATGACTAAGTTTTATCAATTTTAAAGATAACATCATATATTTGATATAAACATTAACCCAGCTGTTTGCTTCTTGTTGTCAGTTGTGTTTTGGGAAATAGTTACATCTGTTTTATTCTATTGAAGGATGGCTCCAGAAGTAATAGCATGTGATGAAAATCCTGATGCCACCTATGACAACAGAGTAAGTTTAGGAAACTAACAGTATTCTAAAAAATAATCACATTGAATTATTTTAACATGTGCTAACAGTTCCTAAATATTAATGTTTATTGCTATTTAATTTTTCTAAGTGTTTGTAACTTTTGATTTTTCAAATTTATTTTGAATGTGAGATTCAACATCTTGTGGCTGTAGTAATGTACTTTTAACAAGTTCATAGCATTTAAAAAATCTTGCTAGTAATACAAGAAGTATCCCTTAGTGTACTGTTTTAATAAATATAGAGTTAAAAATCTCCTAAAAAACTTTAGGGACAGTTAAGACTGTTTTAGAGTTACTTGACATTTTTCCTGCAAATTGTAGGAATTTCAAGTCTACAACATAATTTTGCTACTTTTTGGGGACATTTGTTTTCCTTCTTTGGTCCATAAATTATCGTACAAAACTAATTTCTCATTTTGTAATAAATAACATGCAAAATATAATACTGATTGAAGTGTAGGCCCAGTTGTTAGGGCACTTAATTCACAATCTGGGGTCACATAATTGAAACCCATTGCCCTATATGATCACACTTTCAGGTGTGGGGCATTTTGATGTTATGGTTAATCCTACTGTGTGTTGGTAAAAAACAGCTCAAGAGTTGGCTGTGGGTGCTGCTGAATTGTTGCTTTCCCTCTGGTCAGCAGTTCAAAATTAGGGCTGGCAACATATAATTTTATTAGCTTTGCCATAAACAATTTGCTTAATCCTTTCGAGATGGGTCATGGGTGAAAGGCCATGTAATCTAGTTTGTTGACTCGCATTCAAAATTTTATTGAACTACTATTTCACGAATTTACGTCAATAAGATTGGTATCAAACTGTAGATTATAATTCAAATTTTAGTACTATACATTACTCAGTTTCATAATTTAAAAGTAAATATTTAAAAAAAAGATAAACATCAATTTTTGTGTGTCATGTGATATATTGAATGCAGCACTGGTTCAAATTAGGTGTTTGTGAAGTCAAAATACTAAATCTATAGTTTTGTAGAAAATATAAACTCAAATTACTGATATTGACAAGCTAGAATATAAAATAAGAACTTCTTATCTTTTCTGTTTGGTAAGATATTGCTCATGTAATAAGCACAGTGGCCCCCGCCCACCTCTTTCCATTTTTGGAAACATTCCCTTATATTGACTTACTTCTATATATGACATGAATAACCAATCGGAAGCTCAGAATGTCCCCTAGTGGCTTTCTCAGTCATTTTAAATTCTTAAGATGCTATTTCTTTCTTTTGGACCAAGATTTCATGGAGGTAGGGTGTGTCTTTAGTCTGTTTGAGATTTCATATTTTTTTAGACTAACATACATCTTAGTTACTAAGCTTGATAAATTATAGTGGAATTCTATTGTATTGATGTAGTAATTTATGATTTTTTAGTTATTCAAATGTATATGTAAAAACCGAAAAAAATTTCGTTTTATATCCTCTACGTGCAAAATTTTTAAAGGCTTAGCGACCATTTCAAGCAGCAACTGAGTACAAAGATTGTAACTAGAAGAGATAAATGTTTGCCTTACTTGTTATTTACTGTTCTATGTTTTAAGAAAAATAAGTTTAATAACTTATTTCAAAATAGCAATAATCTATACAC